GGGGGGGGGGAGTACGCCAAAGAAGATTACTTGAGTTTAGTCACGGATAGTGTATGAAGCATCCTCTGGACTTCACTCTCCTAAACCTGTTTACTACTTTTATTTGATATCTAAAAGAGATCAATTCCAATCTTCCATATCCCGTGCTAATGAAAACCTGCCGCTTAACATAACACTCCAAAAAGGAACAGTTTAAGTGTTTGGGGCTAGAAAAATGTGAAGTAATCGAATGTACTACCAGTCAACATTTACAAATTCTAAAGAACTGAGATTAGACAGCCATGAGACGTATGAATGTTAGTATCACCTCAAGCACTATACACCAGGCAGTTTATCTTAAGGCAACACCACCAAGTTGACTGAAAAATCTTACCTCCATAGGATAGATAAGGGTCTGCGAAGTAGCCCCTGCCAATGCACCGGCTGTGAATTTCTCATACAGAGCAAGTGGCTCCGATGATCCGTCTTTCTTAAACAACACCCTCTTGTAGGTTTCATATGCTTGGAAACGAAATGCCTGCTCGGGCGCAATTTTGATACAATTTACTCCATTTCCTCGCCACATTGAAATGACACCACCCTCGTGGAGCATCTTCTTGAAAGAGCGGATTAGACCGGTGGATGCTGCTTTGGTGCCTCTAGCTTGGTAGATGGTCTTAATACGATCCAGAGGTGCGGTGACTGTCCTCGACACACATCCCGCAATGCCTGTTGGAATTAATGAAGAATAATGATAAGCGAAAATCAATAACAAAGAATGTTAATAGATCATTGCAGTATTTTATTTATTTGTTTTACATCAAATGGCAGGTATTTTTGATATTTATCATTAGCCCTTTAGTAGACTTCAGGCTACACAGAGGGGAAGGTACATCAAAGTGACAAAAAGTCCAGATGGGGGACAGAATAATGAATCACGGATGTAAATGAGACAGACAAAGGTAGAGAAAAAGTTGAGGTGAGTACTGTGGAAGTGCCCGAATAGTACACACAGTGGGGTCATGGTAGTTTGAAGTCAGAAGTCAACTGCCGGCTAATAGACATTTTGCCGTATGAGCATACGTTGCCCAGGGTACATCACGTGAAGGTAAGTCTATCGCATAGCCCTCATTGCAGTGTAGTTATTACCATCTTTTATGTATGACCATATCGGTTCTTTCGAATTTTTCGGAATTCATATTGAAAATCCCAATCTTTCACTCTCAAATTGGAACCCCTCCCACCGAGAAACGGAAGACCATTATTCTATTGAGCCTAGAAAACCAGCTTGATTTATTATGTATTCGACTTTAGACTGCCCCGGCATTAGTTAATACAGTTACTAAAATTGACGTTTGGATAGGCTTTACCACTCT